AGGATGTATCACCTAAAAATTCTAAGCTAAAAATACTTATCTATCTATATATATATGTGTGTGTGTATATATATCTGACAGGCCGTGAGGCAAAGGGAAAAACCCTGGAATCATTGATAAAAAATAAACAAATATATAACTTTGTGCACCAGGGCTGTGAACTCCCTTTTTCCTCTCTCCCACAATTTACCACAGTGAGCTATCTCCTTCTGCCTTACTGAACAGCTGTGAAAGGCTGAAGATCAAGGTAACTGAAGCTAAATCATTTTACACGACAACCTCAGTTTCAAATTTCCCTTTAAAAATATTAGCAATGCTTCACCCTAACTCATCCAGGAAGGTCAAGTTTTGTTACAGCATCGGTGCAATGCCAGTATTTTCCATTGGACATGCACAGGTTGTAAGGCGGAATAGCTTCAGCCTGAAACTGTAGATCTTCTATTGTGCATTGACTTCAGCAAGTTATAGTAAACCTGCAGGGATATATCAAGAAACAACAGGTACTATGAGTGGGCACAGCCTCAGACTTCTAGATCTTTGAGTACAGACCTCTTTATATAAAAGCTACTCTGCAGCAAGTATATTTGATACTGTCAGAAGAGACCTGACTATGTGCACCTCCTCATAAAGGGCTTGTTAATGTTTTAGTGGTTTGCAGATGACTGATTGGTAAAGCTAATACTACCACCTAGAAAATAATAACAGGAGTACAGTGAATAAATGTAAAAACCAGCAGGACTGGTGCACTGTATAGTAAAAATTAGGCTCTTACAAAGAGGAATACTGGCAAAGTGCAGTGTTATGTTTGATGACTCAGGCTAGAATGTTGCTGCACAGCATTAGCACCTGCACAGGATCTGTGATACTGTGGACAGAAGCAGGTGTGATTCTTATTTTTTTGTATGGACAGATTCAAGTGTACTGATTAGTGAGGAAGCTGAAGCTTTTATGCAAGCAATATCTCCTGGACCAAATTGGCTGCTGTAAGTCATAATACTTCACAAATAAACTTTCTGTCTAGCTCAGTTTACAGATTCTGAGCACTATTTGTATTTTCACAAGGTGTTGAAGCCCAGATTTTGGGTTAGGATATCTTTATTCAGGGTGCTTGCAAACTCAAGATAACATCTGCCTTGCAATGCCTACAGTTTTAAGTACTGAGAGGCAATGCTGATAGTCAGATGATCGAGTCCATAAGAGAATTAGAAGACAATCTGATCAGTGCAATTAGCATTAATTCCAGTGTGCCCACACCCCCAAAAATGTAATTTTTATTGAACACATGTCATTGCAAAGTTAAGAAAGGACATTGAAGAAAAGCCATGAGGTACCTTTCTGGATGTTTATGCAGTTTCCTAACCAAGGAGTTGTCCTATCTGAGGTAAATGCCAAAAGGCACAAGATGAATTATTTTTAAACTTAACATGTGGTCAAAGATAGTTGGCATCTCTAGTCAAAGAGAAATGTTTTCTCAATAATGAATGCAAGGGAGAACAGGTTAGGCTATGGAAGCCTTTCTTACATATTCACTAGTGAAATGTATTCAGTAGTGAAAATTCTTTGCATAGTACTTTCTGTGAGTAGGTTTTGGTCTGACTGCATAGCTTCTTTCTATGCAAATGTATTTTTTGAGCTTTCTTTCTAGTTATGACTAAATGCATTGCACACTTTTCTTTCCCAGCCAGTTAATATGAATCAGTTTTTACCCTGCTTACAAAGATTTTAGATTTTTTAAATATTTCTTGTAATAAATTAAGAAAAAAACCCCACATTTCTTTAGCGTTCCATTGCCAATACGCTCATTCTCTAGATTTGTATGAGGAAATATACTAACCCTCTAGATTTTTATGAGGAAGTCCCCGCTACATCTAGAGGTAGGTGGCTGTGTCAATGCTCATGTGAAAGTCATCCAACTCTAATTTCTATTGCCAGTAGGATGAAAATAGAAGCTGCTGAAGTAATTTTAATTCATAATTGGAAATAAGCTGGGCAGAACTACAGAGCAGTTACACACCGAACCAGAAGGGTTCAGTGGACAGCAGGATTACAACTACAAGTATGAATAAGTGATACTGGCAGGAGAATGTAGTTGTAAATCCTAAAACCTGTTGGGATGCAGAGACAGGGTAATATCTGAAACACCACTTCTAATGGATTGTGTTATTACGAAAGCTGTTTGAAGCAGGTAAGTGATGATATAATGACCTTTCTGCTAAAATTTGCCATTCAACAAAATCTTACATATTGCTGTAATGGGAGATGAAAGGCTTGACTTTTTTGTCAGGCAATAATTTCTGGTGAAAGAGGCCCAGGAATTGATGCTTGTACAGAAGCTAAGTTCAGTCTCAGTATTTGTAGTGCATGCATTTTTTTCGCACTGCCAGTGCCATCTTAGTCTGAAGGAGACCTGCTGCACTGCAGTGAGGAGCTGCTCTACGCATGCACAATAGCACAGAATTTGCTGGCTTGATGTGAGCTTGTCACTTAGGACTCTCTGTAGTCATAAGATAACCATGATTACTAACTGCCCGAGTAGGGCAGGAATGGCAGTTGTAAATTGTCAAGAGGCTGGAATGTGTGTGTGAAGATAAAATGCAGCAGCAAAGGTGGGAGTTACAAATTTAGCAAAATCAAATGTTTCAGCAAGTGATAGCATTGGTAGATGTAGTTGAAGACAAAACCTTTCTTTATGGGAGGAGCTAAAAAGCTGCTGACTTTCTTCCTGTGACTTTGCAACATGCTGGGGAGTTTATAGGGCAGACTTGCCTGACCGCTAAGAGACAGCCAACACAGCACTTTTGCGTGGAGGATGACTGCAGCACAATAGCAGCACATTGCAAAGAGAAGTAGCGAGTACCCTGATGGAGAAAGAGGACTGCAGGAAGGGACTTTCTCCTCTAGACCTTCTGTACTGCTAGAGACAGGGAGCATACATGTAAATGTGTGTGCACATAAGACTCAACTCATTTATCACAGTCACAAACAAAGATCTTGTTTTCTGCATATAGCAGGCCTGAATGTGGAACAAACTAGAGGACAGGAAATAATCAGTCAGCAACTTAGCAACATCCAGGTCTGAAACACATGATCTAGTCCAGTGTAATAGGTCTGTAAAGGATTATAAAACTCTACACCTACACAGCAGTATTGTACTTCTGTAAATACATTGCATATAAACTGACAAGAATCTACTTTCAAGAGCTGCTGTCTCATAGGATGAACACCATTTTATGATCACTGAACAACATAAATGACTTTGCAGTCCACATAAGAAAGTCTAAAAAGTGATGGCACTCTGGTTTTGGGTGGGTGAAAGAACACTGGGCACTGTTATACCTATTTTAAATGGTGAATTTCAGATGATTATGATTAAGTCGACTGGCTGTCTTCCTTGGTAAATCACTGGAAGCTGAGGTTCCTTTAAACTTGTTTGTAGCTGATTGATATTCATCTTTGATCCCCTCCATTTTAACATGACATACATAAATGGAGAAAAGCAATACTTGCAACCACAAAAGTGGTTGCTAGAGTGAGAATAAATAACCAGTATGTATCAGTTTACATGAGTAATACATTTAGGAACTGCAATTAATTTAGAAGTCTGTTTTCCAAGTACTTGGTTATAGCTCTTGGGAGGCTACCTCAAAAGAAAGCTCCAGCAATGTGTGGCAAAGACATTTCTATGGTCTAGAGGAAAACTCTATTTCTTCTGATCCTACTGTAAGATCAAGTACTCAGTCAGTCTTTTAAAATACTTATATAAGAGGTAGTAAACGAAGGTTTACAAATGGATTTCTTTACTCTTACTATAAAGCTTGTTCATACTTTAGCTAGTAAGGCATCATTGCAAAAAGTTTAAGAACTGGTAGTATATAAAAGACAATTTATTTGATTTGTTCCCAAAGGATATTTTGGGAAGGTGAGAAGAAGTCAGCTCAACATAAGACACGTTAAGATATATAAGCTAATTTACATACAAAAAAAGTGAACTTGCAAGTATATTTAAAAGATTATTAATAAAACATCTAGAAATATGAATGAAAAAATCTTCAGGTGTGATAGTTCAAATAAATATGACTAGAATTAGTAAGCATTTTATCCTTTTTCTACATTATTGCACAGTTATAGCAGATATATTTGAACTCATCTTAGTTTGTGAAATATTTGATGTTTGTTTCTGTTGAAAGTAGCTTACTGGATTTGAGTAATATAATTCTTTTACAGTATCTTAATGCCAATACTCTTAAGGAAGAGAGCAATACCATACCTTCAGAGAATCTTATGGAAAAGTAATCATAATAATCTAAAATACAGAATGAACACATTTAGTGGAAATACCACTAAATATACGAACCTAACAAATAAATTAATGATGTTAGTGAATGATGCTAGTGAAATGTTGCTAAATGAATATGAACCTAACAAGTAAATTAATGATGCTAGTGAATTCTCTTTCTCAGTGGATGACTTTTTAAATTCGTCACTCATTTCCATTTTCAGAACTGGGGGATTAAGTGTCTTCCCTACCAATATCTTCCACCTTTTGATCTATTCTGTGATGACTGTTAGTCAGGCAACTATGTTAGTAATTCATGAACTAGAAAGAAGTGGTTGTTGATGGACGAGTGTTTCATTTTAGTTCAGACATAACACTTCTCCCATCTCCCAAATGTGTGCAACATAGTGTCAAGTGCATCAAAGTAATGCCTAGAAGTGACTGATAAACCTAGGATCTCCAAGGCAAGAACAGCAAAGGGAAGATCACAACAGGAAAAATTATGGTGTGGAGTCAGTCACATTTTCCCAAGGACTAAGAGGAAACCTGTTTCCTTTCCCAAGCAGGGAAAAAGAACTATACAGACTCATCAGCAAGCACAGGTATCTGAACAGACCTAGGGAGCTATGTTGCCCCAAAATCCAAAGAAATCCTCTGAGAAGTTTCTTTCTATAACCAGTCTTTTATAAAGTGTCTCTCTCCCTTTCCAGTGTTGTTGAATCATTCATGTTGCTGGCGACAGTCCTTTTGGAAGATTCTGCCCCACTGTCAGATCAGACACCGAGTTGTAAATTACATTTTCCTTCTGCACGTAAGTAGTATAAGGTTCCACTTCCATTGTGTCATCCTAACAAAACACAACCAAAAATTGTAAATAGTTTGGCAATACTCTGCAAACCTTTTGTCTGGACTGAACAATGTAACTGGGAAATAGTACTGCCATATTTATTCCTCTTGGACTCAAGAAAAAAACCCCTCTATTGCTTTTCCTATCAAAGGACATGTATTGCTGTTTCTGTCAAAGATTTGGAGGGTAAAGCTGAGGTATTGAAACCCCACTTTGGTCTGGAAAAAAAACATGTGAAGGTGTAATTCTCTAGAAAAAGCAAATAATATCTTAGAGTCTTGACAATGATTGATTCCTCTATCAGTCTACAATTTCAGTCTACAGACATGCTGATGAAAATTGTGTGATGCGACAGCAAGAACACTTGGATTTAACCCATTATTTTACATTAATGCAGCTGCAACTGTCAGCAACAACTAGGAGGTAAGGCAGCAGAACATGAGGAGTAAGAATAACAAGTAGAATTGACTAAGTCTTTTCAGAAACCAGAACTGAAGCATCTTTTTAAGTTGATGACAGCATGTGAGCCTAGTGTGTATAGTAGATGCACAGATATTCACAATATAGACCTAACGCATCTTGCCTGCATAGAAATGCTGTTATTTATATTTGGTAGTAGAGAACAGAGACTTCTCTTTCTTCCCTTCATCAGGGACTGTAGTGATAGGACAAGGGATAATGGGTTTAAACTTAAACAGGGAAGACTGAGGTTAGATATAAGGAAGAAATTCTTTGCTGTGAGGGTGGTGAGGCACTGGGAGGTTGCCCAGAGAAGCTGTGGTTCCCCCATCCCTGGCAGTGTTCAAGGCCAGTTGGACAGGGCTTTGAGTAACCTGGTCCAGTGGAAGGTGTCCCTGCCCATGGCAGGGGATTTGGAACTAGATGATCTTTAAGGTCCCTTCCAACTGAAACCATTCTAGGATTCTGTGAACAGAGACACAGAGCTGATGACTGCATTGCTCAGCTACACAGGAAGTCTGTTAGAGCCCAGAGAATTCAAGAACACCTCCCAGCTACTCTTTCCGTTGTTTATAAAATGTTTTATCTTGAGAATGGTTTGTTCTTTGATTATGGGAAGACCATGCAAGGTAGAGAGTGGTCCTCAAAACTTGCACACCATCATTCTGGAAACCAAGGGGGATTTTTTTTTCCCCCTGTGTTTGTTAATTTTATTGTTTCATCCTCTTTTTTACTAATAGCTTTCTTAATATTCCACAACTCATGATACTGCCTCACTTTCTGAGTACAGCAGTTGTGGTCAGTGTATCTGGCATGACCAGGGAGATCCCAGTGGTGGGATTCACTCCTTGCTAAGATAAAGATGGTGGTTGCTGAGGAACATGCCTCTAATGTTTGCTCAAAGTCAAAATTATGGTGATGATAAGCTTTGCTTTATCCTGAGATACAGCTAAGAGCAAACACCTAAGATACAGCAGCACCTGCTGAATGCATAGTAACAATCTAATGGTTTCCTTTTACTGACCATATTTTCAGGGCTACCAGAAGATCCATGATTTGTCGATGGTCTTATTTGCATCATTCTTCTTACCTGTGGGGTGTGCCTGTTTGGGGCAGTTTCAGAAGGTTTGGTTTTGTGGCATGGTCTATGAAAAAGAAAACAAGTATTAAATGGATTTCCTTCCTAAATCCTAGGTTGAGTTGGATCACAGACTGGTTCCTTTGATCACCAGCTTGTGAAACATTTCATTTTCTTGTCATCAAGAGTAAACCAAAAAAGTTTTCTCATGTCTCTGTCTCCTTGACTTTTGATCCTGATATTATGGCACCCTGACTTTCCTTAGAGATCTTTTTCTCGTGTTTGTGGGAGCTTAAGCACAAAGTAGAAGCCGAAGACTTAAAGTCTTCTGGAAGGATGTACAATCTGCGGTTAGTGAAATTGGATTGAACTAATTCTTCACCTTGAGGGAGAAGGTTTGGGAGAAAAAACAGATTTGGAATAGGGGAAGGAGGGAGCATAGCTGAGGTTTTCAGTACAGGTGCTAATTCAGCCTTTCTCTGCAAAAATGATTTCTACAGTTTTTCCTTGGAACTGCTCTTTTCTCCATAGCAAATCCTGAAGGGGCTGGAGTCCAGCTTCACCCAGGGAGCTTTTTCACAAATACAGATAAAATCTACTGCCTTCTCTGTTGATATGGCAGGATAGCATTGGTCAGGCCTCTGGCACTTGGTAGAAATTATTAGGCAGTAGAACCAAACCCTTGATCTAAACGAGAGAGACACTGACAGACTATCACAGTATCTGAAGAACAGCTGTTCTCTCCCAGTTTCCCATTAGAACAAAGAAGTCCCCTTTAGTCTAGCAGACAATGCAATGAAGATCCTCTGCCAGCTTCTGCCTATTTATATTTTACTCAGGTGCATTATTCAGTGAAGATGTGTGCAGTGCACATTGTTTGCAGTATAGAAATATTTGATGTAGTTAATTCAGTTATTTATAGCAGCACAGACCAATAGAATCATAAGATTTCAAGACACAAACAGTACTTGAAGATTTCTTCTAGCACTAGAAAATCTCTCCTTAGCTCCCTATCATACATACCTGTTGCCATGGAGCTTAAAATAGTAAATGGCAGCCACGAAGGTGAAAACGCTCAGGAAACAAAGAATGATGGAGGCATGCAGGATAAAGCTGTTCTCTAAACACAGAAAAGTTAGTTGTATCTTCTCAATGCTCAGTTTCTTTATTATTTCAGTGTAAGATTAAAACTGCATTAGCACATACACACGTTTTCAGCATGCTTGTAAGATAAATATAATCCCCTTCAGCAGAAGGGGAAGTCAGTAATGAAACTTGTCTCAGAAGCACAAATGGAGTTTCTGTCAAAACCAAAACCATATCCCACAAATTCCCCAGTGCATTCTTAGGATGTTTTTTCACTAAGCCACACCTGAGCTCCTCTCGAGGACTCAGTATATCTCAGTGCTGCAACTCATGTGTAGTTCTCAAAAGCAGCAAAAAAAGTAGAAGAAAGAAATGTCATACGGTGTCAGACATTCCCAACTTGGAACGAAGTGATTTATTTGTTTCAGCTGGCCACACAAGAGTTGGTTCTCTTTCTCTCTCTTACCATGATCTGAGCAAAAGACTACATGTGCATCTAAAAAATTTTGCTGACGTTCAGCCTCCAAGTGATTATGTGAATACTACCACACCCATATGCTTCTTGGCAAAGGCAGTTAGGCATGGTACTCTTGTCTATATAGAACTTCACTGAAGGTTTCTATAGTTTTATAGATTTTCCTTCCTAGAAGGAACAAGAGTGTGCACAGGAGACTAAACAGGATTTTGAATGCTGAATGCACAAAGGGAAGCTCACCTGACGGACGACAGGCTATGGAGTTGCTCTGGTTCCCAGCTGGGTGGGACACAAAGCAGGTTGTATTAGTCATGTTGCTGCTATATGATGTGAACTTGCTGACAACAGTCACTGTCCCGTTGTCATGGCCTTCTTCCCTGGGGGTGAAGATGCTCTCCAGGACCCAGGAGATCTGAGCAGCCGGCTTCCCTGCCACCGCCTCGCACACGGGGTTCCCATGGTCATCGCAGTACAGGGTCAGCCTGGGGGGCACTGCAAAGTGTCAGGAAGGGGAGATGCATGGAGTTAGTTTGCTGCAGCTGGGACAGGATGTTCTTGTTCTCTACCCAAAATGAACACGGGGAAAAGAGGAGGATGTTGGTTACAGCAACATGCGCCAAAGACACAAGAGACAAAGATTGTGCCTCTTTTTTCCTTTTGGACAGCTCTCGCCCCTTCAGATGGGTTACCACAGCCATGCACCATTAGAGGAGGTATCCCTGGACGTTGTGGTAGGGAATTATTCCAACTACAGGGCTGAATTAGACTTTTGTCCTAAGCAGCCATTGAACACATGGTTTAAAATGTATCTGAATGTCAGCAGAAGAGGAAACGGGTCTGTTTATTCTGTCTAGATAAGAACATCCCATGTTTAATAGAGTAGCTCAGCACTTGGAATTGTTACTCACATATGCTTTAGTTCTCCCAAGTTAATGCATTAAGGATTGATAGTACAGGGTAACTGGAAGTATGTGCAGAACGCTCTTTTAGTGTATTGGAAATTGCTTCATACCTATCATTTCTAGCTAGACAGTGGAAAAATGAGAAGAAGAAGGGAGAAGAGTTTTGGGAAATAAGGAGAAATAAGAAAATAAGGAGAAATAAGAAATGGCGACAGAGAGTTACAGTCAGTGAAATGCATGACAGTTTATCCCAGCAAGAAAACACCTCTTCTTACAGCACACTTCCCCTGGTGTTTGGAGAGAGGAGCTTTGTACATCCAGGCCAATACCTGGTCCTCTGGAGATCTGTAAAATGAGGAAGGAGCCCCTTACCCAGCACGGTCAGGTGGTACATCATGTGGAAATTCCCTTCTGTTGATACTACTTCACAGATGTAATTTCCCTCATGGGCTATTCCCACTTGTCGTATCTCAAGGGCAGGATCCTGATCTGGTCTGGACTTCCAGTTCATGCTGTCGCTGCAGTTGGTTCTGTCTGTCTTGTTCTGATCAGTCCTGTATCCCAAGGTGCAGGGGCCTCCAACCTTGGGGCTGATTTTCCATGTTACCATAGTTCTATTTGATTTGTGAGGGCAGGTGAGCACAGAGCTGTTTCCTACTGTCACTGACACTCTGTTGTACCCTGAAGGAGAGAAAGAAGAAGAAGGACATGTGAGAAGGTGCCCAGTGATGTCACTCATAGCCCTGGAGTTCTGGTCTGTGCTTCACAAGGAAATGTCTGCACTGTTACATGCCAGCATGAGGCCCTGTCTGTGCTCATCTGCAAATTGTCTGACATCTGATATTACAGATGTGGATTACAGAGCCAGCGGCCTATCACAACCAATCCTCTCAATACTATCAACAAATTTCCCACTGAGGCTCATGTTAGCGAATAAGACAGACAGTGGAAACGCTCTATTTTATTCTTTTTTCTTTCTATGACACTGACTCTTCTTTTAAAAGATAACTCTTGCTTGGAGTCAGGCACAATACCTTCTGTCTTTATCTTTTCATGGTCCATGAATTATGCTTGAAGGTAGATGTCTGTATGGAAAAGCTTGAACCTACTCCTTTTGTCATTTTTGTAAGTTATCACATCGGCCATTGAGAGAGCCAGACAACTATTATGGCTCCTCTGTGTGCTCTGTTTGTTCAAGACATGTTACACCCACAGGATTGCCTTTAATTTATTTATTTGTTTTTCTTTTTGCCTATGGGTCCCTGAATTTCTTTTTAGCTAAGAAACTAATCTGCCTCGGTTTTCTTTTTCCGTGAGCTTTCAGAACTGATTCTCCTTTGCACGTATTGGGCATGAGTCATGCTTGCTCTTTTTATATTGACCAGATTTGGGACCCCTCATCTGCCTGTGTCTTCAGCTGACACATCCAAAGGGTCAAGTTTGTAACTCCAAGATTCATTTTGCTGTTTCCTTGACCACTGAACCCTCTCATTGATGCCATCTTAGGGACAGCTGGTTCTTTTGCTTGGTTTCAACTAGTTGCATTGGGACCTTTTCCTTAATAAAGCATTCTGTGATGGGATTTGTTTGCTGGACAGGTACTTGTGGGCAAGCACTCAAGAGATGAAACAAAGGTTACCTATAACTGTTCTTCAAGATGAAGTGCTTATATGTTGCCTACACTTACACAGGCAGCACACTCTTCATTGTGAGGCACTTTTGAGACTGAGAGAAAACAAGTCTCAGGCACAGGTTGTAAACCAGTGTGGAGAGGAGGTGAGGGAATGGGACTT